GCCTCTGCTTCTTCCTGCAGCTGCCACACTGCAGCAAGGACAGCCAGGAGCCGTGGCCACCCCCGTGTGGACCCACCTGCTGTTTCACGAGCCACTGGCCAGCCTGGCTATGTGCCAGCTATGAGGCAGGAGGGCACGGTGCCTCGTGACGGGTCTGCCACCCGCGTGGGCCACCACAGGAGCCAGGAGAAAAGGCCACATTCACCCTCTGCACCCACCACTGAAAGCCCCGCAGAGGCCACAGCCTTCCTGAGGGAGACCCAGCCCCGAGACAGGACAGACAGACACAGTGCAGGTGAGAACCAAAGCCACGGGTGCGCGTGCCTGGTGGCAGAGGTGACACTGAGCGTCAGGAGGGACCCGACCCACCCCCACCCCACCCCCACCCCATGCACTGCAGCTCTCACCAGTCCATTCGGGATGGTCTGCTGCCCGCAGTTCAGGTACATGAAGTGGTCGTTGTAGCCCGTGGGCCGGTACACGGCCATGCTGGGGGAGACGGAGAACAGGAAGCACCTCTCGTCCCCTGGAAGCCACAGAGCAATGGACACCAGGTCACTGTGTGCACTGGGCACCAAGAGCAGCAGACACACGGCTCCTGCTCAGGAAGTGCAGAGTCGGGAGGAACCCGCCTCCTCGGAACTCAGGAGCAGAGGCAGGTGGCCCCTAGGATGCTGCGGAGCCTGCTGGAGTGTGTGCGTGAAGACGTGGGGCCGTCCCCACCTAAGAGACCCCCCATCCTGTAGAGAAGAAAGCTGCAGACAGAGCCCCTCACAGCGCAGGACCTCGGGGAGGGGAAGGACAGCAAGAGGCGGCACAGGTGTGAGCACACAGGCCATTTCAAGAAGCACTGGCCGGACATGGGGGCACAGCTGTGATCCCAGGGCTCGGGAGGCTGAGGCAGGAGGATCGCAAGTTGGGACCCAGCGTCATCAACTTAGCAAGACCCTATGCAACTCAGTGAGACCCTGTCTCTAAATAAAACGTAAAAAAGGGCTGGGGATGGGCTCAGTGGCTAAGCACCCTGGGTTCAATCCCCAGATTAATAAGAAGCACTGGTCAAAACCTTGGAAGTGACCCCTGCCCCACCAGCACTCAGCCCTGGGGTGGGAGGAGGGCCTGCCTCGCCCACTGGAAGCTCTGTCAAGGGACCACCCCAGAGCTGCCTGCTGGGCCCAGAGCCTGCACCTGGACCCTGGTAGCTGAAATGCCTGCGACTGCGAGAGCCACCGCCCAGGCCTGGGGGGACAAGCGCTTGACAGCTTGGACGGGGGCGTGCCACGAGGCGGGAAGGGGTCACAGGAAGCACGTGGACGACACAAGGGGGCATCCAAGGCCCAAGGGACTATGGGAGGAGGACATTCTTAAGCAGGCAGAGTGCCAGCAGATAATGCCCTGACCGCCACTCAGACAGTGGGGGCCTCCGTGGCCAGGGTCAGGGCGGCCTTCAGGCAGCGCCTCAACAGCCTGCAAGGGCGGGAAGGACGTGCTGGACAGAGTGGCGGGGCCACAGCCACTCATGGAGGAAGGACCCCACACAGGGATGAGCCTGGGGCACAGCAGGGGCCACTCAGCCCCCTGAGCACCTGTGGGTGTCCAGGTGGGGAAGGAAAGTCTGAATCGGCACCTGGGACCACACAGCGGCCTGGTAGGCGCCTGTCCTCGGAGCCGGGAGGCAGAGGGCCTGGGGCACTGGGCGCTGCCTGGTCCCCCGCTCCTGCCTCCCCTCCTGGGCACCGGGCTTTAGAGGAGCGTCACTTTGCTTTGTGGTCCTGAAGCTGTCGTTCGACTGACACTTACTGGGCCCTGCTAGGAGAGGTGCCGGGCCACGGCGTGGGCCACGGCTGCAGGGACCCCCTGTCCAGCTGGGGCTGCTGACAGGGGAAGCCACGTGGAAACACTGGCTCCAGCTCACGGGGAAGACCCCAGGGTCGCTCTGCCTGCTGGAGCGGACCCCCAGGAGGGATCCTCTGTGGTTCTCCCCATTGAGCACCCG